TCAAGAGGCTGATGTATTTACAAAACAAAAATCCAAAGGACAGTGATTAATTTTTCCTGGTGTATTTTTCTTTGTACATTGTCATTCTTTAATATAAATCTTGGGAGTTTGGTGATCCTGTGGGGGCTGGAGCCATTTTTGAAACTGAAATTTCTATTTTCCTTTGGGGGGAACCTTTGCCTGAAAAGGTTAGCATCCTCATCTTTGCTATGTAAAATGCTCAAGGCGGCAGAAAGTTTTATTAAATAACTACCTTCCTAAGTAAAACCATCTTGATGAGAGAAACACTTTTTGAGTGCAGAGTAATTTGGGGTTTGAGTACATTCCATGGACAGGCGCAAGTGAGTAAATTTTACAAAACTGTAGCACTGTAATCTCACTTCCATTAGCAAATAATAGTGTACCGTAAGTTGTTGGAGCATAAGTCTGAATATTGGCTGCTACTGCCTGTGGATCCTGTTCAGGGACCTAACTGAATGCTCTTTGAGCACACTCTACTTTGTTGAGTTTGAAGTTTGTGCAGTATGTGTGAACCTTTGGGGTTGAAACATGGAGTTTGCTTGTCCGTTTCTAAACTTTCTCTTGTGCTTCAGGAATTCATGAAAGCTACTGTAGACTTGGCTGATTTGGTGGGTCTCCACCTGGTGATGTCCCGGAACGCAGGAAAAGGGGAATATAAGATTATGGTAGCTGCGTTGGGCTGGGCCACAGCAGAACTCATCATGTCTCGGTGAGTTGGGTTTACGTAAGGGGGTTCACTGTTCAGAAGAGGGGTGGGAGAAACTAGACCCACATTTTTGATTGCTGGCTCAACAGTGCAGCCTGCAAGGCTGCTGTGCAAAGTTTTGTGTCCCTCTCTTTATGATGTGTCTCATCCTACTTGCCTTCATACTTCCGACAGATGCATCCCACTGTGGGTGGGAGCTCGTGGCATTGAGTTCGATTGGAAATACATTCAGATGAGTATTGATTCCAACATCAGCCTGGTAAGTGTTAATTTTCTCCCTGTTTTCGGTTGAGTTGTAAAATAATACCTCATATGACAGGATTAAATTACTGAGGACTAGGAACTTGTGTTTTTTTTGTTTGTTTAGTGAGGTTTTGGAGGGCAGTGTATGGAGATTTGCCTCCCCACTATATACATTTTGATTGGCAGTTCAGTTAAAAATATCAATCAGTTCATTAAATTTGTTGAACTTTTCATGTGAAAGAGTAAAATAATATTTCAGAGACAGGATGTTCATATACTTTCGTGCGTTTACTGGAATTTAATTTTAAAACACTTATCTCCTGAAGATATATATATATATTTCAAATTAAAAGACTGTGTGGCTTTTGTAACGGGGAGCTTGGAAGTAAGTGAGATCATTCTATGAATCTGGAACTTTCTGTAATCAAACACGACTCCAATAAAGAATTCCCCAAACTGTTTCTTTGATGGAAGAAAAAGCTTAAGGCAGTGTTTCTCAACTGTGGCCACTTGAAGATGTGTGGACTTCAGTTCCCAGAATTCCCCAGCCAACCAATTTGGGAGTTGAAGTCCACATATCTTCAAGTTTCTAACGCTGAGAAACATTGCTGTAAGGAATAGGGTTTCCCCCCCACAAGAGCTAAAATGGAAACTGAGTGAGCTTAGGGGCCAGGAAAGCACCAAGAGGGAACCTGAACTTAGAGGGCACTGTAAAGGAGAAAAATGAACAAGGGCAGAGCTGGCTAGCTAGATAGCATTGGAAGAAACATATTGGAATTTTATACTGCAATGTTTTATAAGTCCCATTTGACTTGAATGTCAGATGTTCTGCTTGACGGTTAGGTTTTAGAAAGCATTTAGGAATCTCTCCTTATCTCTCCTTTTGTGTCCCTACAGGTTCACTACATTGCCACCGCTGCTCTGGTGTGGATGTTCACCCGCTATGATTTACCCAAACATTACCGACTGCCTCTTACTTTTCTCCTGGGTGTCAGTGTCTACAAAGCCTTCTTCATGGAGTGAGTGCTTTTGGTGGAATTAAGGTGGCAAAGGGAGGTTAAGGGGGTGGAGGGGAAACCTTGGGAACTTCCAGGTTCTTGGTTCAAATCCTTGTTTCCCCTTTCATTTATTTTCTGTACAAAAATCTTCTTTTCCCAGAAACGAGTAGCCTTTTTGTATGAGTGAGGAACTGAGGACTCTCACATCCTCACCATGGCTCCTTTCTTTTAAAATTCCTCTCCCTCTCCAAAGAATCAAGAAATGCTTGGAGAACTTTCCTGTCTCAGTATTTGTGCTAGGTCAAAAAAGTAAAAATGGGGGTGGGGGTGGGGAGCTGTGATCAAAACCACCATTTTAACTTTTTTTTACCCTCCCCCCCCACTCAGTGTACACCTCTCTCTGTGGCTACATTTGGTTGTATTCATACAACACTGAAAGCCATCATGTCGGCTTGTTGGGTCTTGTCTTTATATGACAAACTCAATCATTGTTTTTATAAAGGAGAGTTAGCAGCTGATCATATGTGTGATGATTCACAGTATCTTGGTTCTGCGTGATGTACAAATCAAGCTTGTGATATTGATGTAATAGTGGGGTGGGTTTTTTTGTTGCCAGCCTTAAAACCTCAGCCTCGCCTACTTCTCTCTGCTTTTCTAGATCGTTTGTGCACGTCTTTCTCCTGGGTAGCTGGACTGCACTGCTGGTGAAAGCAGTGATCACTGGCCTCCTTTCCTTCAGCTCCTTGGCTCTCTTCGTCACCCTGGTACACAGTAACTGAAGCTCCACCACTTGTTATTCCAACTTGGGAGACCTCCTCTTCGTACATCTTAAGATCGCTCAGCTATAGATTCTGTTTGCAAAGGTGTGCAGGCCTTTGCACTGCCTTCCAGCTGCGAGATCGGTTCCAGTTAATGATCACTGTGGCATTCCAAAAATGATGCTAATTTAAAAAAGTATTATTTATACTTTGCCCAGTTTGAATTCATTTGGCTGTTCTCTACATGTGTTTATTACACTATGATGGTGTTTATGCAACCCACTAAGCCAACAAGACCGATACCACTAAACCAACACATATACACAGTAATTTGATATTCCTGTCGTGTTCAATCTTAGTTGTATTGTGTCGGCATCCATAGCCAGCCAGAATAACGTCAAAATGACAACACGTCATAAGATCATCATACACAAGGTAACGCTTATTATTGTAGCATTGGATGAAAGTACACCCATCATATAGGCTCCATCATTTGCATTGTGATGTACAGTACCTCTGGCACTCTTCCCTCTTAGAAATTGCTGCTATATTATCTAATGTAAAACCGGATGGGGTTTGGAGAAGCTCAAAGCTAAAGCCACAATGAATTGGAGTAATAATGTTTGCATTACATTTGAAGCAGAGGTTATTTAGGCTTTGGTTTGCAGTTAAAGCCGTATGTAGCTGGGGATAAAATGGCACAATTAAAATTGGGGTTTTCATGATTTGGCCTGTCGTGGGGATAATAATAATAATAAAGCGGGTCTTGATTTTTCTTCATGATACGGCAACAGTGCATGGATGCTGCCTTTGCTAAAGGCCCACAGGATGGAGGATGTGGGTGGTGATGAGAAACGCAGGGTTTTCCATGGACAGTTACCATCTTCTTAGAGGTCCCTCTTCTCTGCATGACTCTTGGTAGCCGGAGAGTTTTCACTCTGCAAACCATTTTTATTTTGTTCAGGGCACATGAAGAGTTACTGGCGGGATTTAGGGAGCATTATGGTGACACTCTTTGGAAACCTCTCTAGAATGTTTTTTAAGTCCACGTGCATACATATCTAGTTGCCCTCTCTACTTGTAAAACAAGAGAAGCAGAAAGACTCATTTTTGTCCCAGGGCATATATAATAACTTATCTTTTTTGGATAATAATAATTGACAAGTATCAGCAAGTACAATTAGATGAAGAACACTAGCGCAAAGTGGTTTAAGTCTGACTCTTGGGTGTTTTCTTCTGCAGGAACTGGGTTCTTAAAAACCATTAAATGAGACTTTGTGGGCACGGCAATCCTTCCCTTTAATTCAATCTTATAGTTACTGCCACATTGGTGAGTGAATTGACTGGAGAAACATGGAAAGATCATTCTATTTATTTGTAGGGTGGTAGCCATGGAGGAAGGGAAATTTCTCACAAGTACAGGAGGTGGTTTGTGGTGGCGGTTGATCTATCCATTTGTTAACTGACAATGATTTCAAAATAACATCCTTACGCAAAGAACAAAATTATTTACTTGCATCACAAAGTATGATGCAAGTATATAAGTCACATTGCACAATGCCATCATGAGGCATATATCATAATCTTTTTTCTTACTGCAGTCCGTTGTACTGTAGGGCAATCAGAATTTGAAGGAATGGAGAATATGTTTATGTAACTTCATTGTCTGGTTATTTTGAACGGAGACTGCTTGTGTATGAATTCCTCTGCTTTCCTTTCATCTACTGTATAAAAGTTCTGTAAGCTTTATGCTTCAGGAATTACTAATCCAAGGAGACCAAATCATGCAGAAGTTGGAAGTGATGCCAATTGCATATTTTATGTATTTTTTAAAAAATTCTGCTTTTTCTATGGAGAAGGCAAAGGAAGGCAAACCACTTGCCCTTGTTTCTTCTTTGAGATCCTATTGCCTTGTTTGCAGGCTTTGGAGTTTGAAACTTGCTATATTTTTAAAAAAATCTTTATGCCTGTACCAGTGTTTATATATGGTTGCCATCTCAAGAACCGTCCACTTCCTCTAGCATATCAGCGTCCCCAAATATTTTCTTGACGATGGGCAGAGTTTTGTCCCAGAGTAGCTGGAGCAGGACGTGTGGAACATGGAACTTCATCATAGGAAGGGTTAAGAAATTCAACAAGTTCGGTAGAAGGTATAGCTAATGAAGAAAGCAAATCCTAGGTTCCTTCTTACTGTAGTATTTTGCACCCACAGGGAGCAGCCCAGGCAGCACAAACCGTGCCAGTGGGGACATATTTGTGCCCGCAGTCTCATCTTTAATAGTAAAGTTCTTTGTCCCACCAACCTGGAGGAAAGAAACAACATGGGGATCAGGTTAAGGATGACGATGATATCATTGATGCCTACAGCAGCTTGTCAGTTGATGGAAAAACAAAGAGGTGTACCCTTGGAGGTTTCTAGTAGTACAGGTTTCTAGTAGTACAGTACTATCTCTGAGTGATCCAAGATTAAGAATTGCATTAGAATAGACATGTCAAACTCGCAACATCACGTGACGTCGCACAACGTATCAGAACGGTTTTGCCATTGCCAGCAATGGGGTGGGCGCAGCTTCCAGATGATGCCTCCGGCCCATGGGCCGGCAGTTGGACACCCCTACATTAGAACATGCCTGAATCAAGCCTTCTATGAACCTTATGTCAACTTGCCTCCCTCCTCTCCTTACCCATCCTTGTAACTTACTTCCAGGGTGTCTCCGGACTCCCAATTTTCGGATTTCATCATACACAAAGATCAGAATGCCAAAAGGCATCGGCACTAACCACCACTGGAATCTAGATGGGACGGGGGACAAGAGAATGGAAAAAGTTAAGCTTGACAGAACTTTGCTAAAGTCAGCTTGCTGAGCTGAATTGTCTCTGAAGTAGCTTGAAACTGACAGGAACTGAGTATCAATCTGCAAAACAAATATGACCCCAAAGCTTTGTTTCCCAGTTTTGGTCTGTGTTTTGTTGCCAAGTCCCTGGAAAAAGGGAGCAGTTGTAATGTAGGGCCGTAATGACTGCTGTCCTTGGTGCTGAGCTGAGCTGCAGGAAGTTCCCTCCCGTGAGAGGATTTGCTTTCTCCCTTTTAGCTAGAGAGGAGATTTGGATCAGGAGGACTAAGCTGTAGCCTTCTTTAACTCCTCATTGTCTTTGCATGTGCCTGTACTTACTGTTATTACAATATGTAAATGAGTGATTCCTGCTCTACTGAATTTAAAATCTAAACTTTGATGATATGGGATAGGAGAAACAATAGGCAATGAAAGTGCAGCTAGAGGAAAATAGCATTAAAAAAACATGGTAATTAGAGCAAGTTGAGTAGGGAATTATAATAGATGAGATGAGATTTCTTAAAGAAATAAGAGATGATTTACGAAGGAGAGGAAAATAACTACAGTAGGATTTAAACCCTGATTTTTAGAGTTGTGTAATACAAATTTAAACAGAGCCAGCGTGTACAGTGATAAAGGTGTTGGACCAGAAAGAGGGAGACCAAGTTCTAATTAACCTTCAGTTATGGAAGCTTCCTTCTATATTTGGGGTGGTCCCCCTCTTCTCAACCGTACCTACCTCACAGGGTTATTGTTTGGGGAAAAGAATTTGAGAATTTAGCACTATAGGTTGCCTTAAGCTACTGTTATAAAGGGTAGGTTATATATCAAATATACAAATACAGTCATTGATGTCTGTGCGCTGCAATGGACAAATCTATATCTCTGTGCTTCATGTTTTGTTCTTTGTGTGATTAGAAGAGACTTATTGAGTTTTTCCACTGAGTTAGCTAATTCCTGAATGAAGGGTAAAGTGTCTGGAGAGTTGAGATTTATAGCCATGTTAAGCGTGGAGTGATATCCTACAATGGAAGGAGAAAAGCAAGAATGTGGGCAGAGAACACTGGTTTGCTTAATCATGTTTTGTAGAAGCCAGAGTTGTTAGGATCCTCATACGGTATGGTACTGAAAGCCATCTCTTGCAAACCATAATGCAACACAACAACAAACCACAAAATCATGCACCTCAGGTTTTGGGGAGACAGGTTCAGAGGTGGCTATGGGTTTTCTAAATAGCTCTGCTCTGTAGCACGGCTTCATGAGAACTTTTGAGAAGTGGTTTTGTCATGTTAGAACACCAATGTGTACAGGTTCTTACCGTATGGGCATAAAGTTGAAGATATTGGGCATCCCAGGGCAATAACAGAGGAAGCAGCCCAAGCAGATCTGGAACACAATAGCAATCACCAAGATCTTATTTCTGAAAGAGAAAGAGATGAGTAGGGCTGAATGGAAGATTCTCGATTTCTGTTTTGAATAGACCAGCATCGGGTGATGGTCAATTGATCATTGGCACAACGGGGTCACTCGGTGGAAAGAAGCCAGTTCCAGGATAAGAAGGCAAATTACTCATCTGTTGTTGAATTCTCAAAACTGTCAAATTCAAGGAGAACCCAGATTTGATCTTGGGTTGGGGAAAGCTGCAAATGCTTTGCCGTTTTTTCTGGGAAACGAGCTTATTACCTGGACTCGCGTTTGATTCAGATTTGCCCATCACTAGCATCATTTCAGCAACATTTGGTCAGGAAAACACACTCTCCAACCAACACAAATGCAAAAACTAAGAATGAGAACAGGAGGTCAAACAACAGGTTGAATTTGTTGGGTTGGAACAGGGATAGTCAACCTTGGCTCTTTTATGACTCGTGGACTTCAATTCCCAGAATTCCTGAGCCAGCTTAGCTGGCTCAGGAATTCTGGGAGTTGAAATCCACGAGTCATAAAAGAGCCAAGGTTGACTACCCCTGGGTTGGAAGAATTAACGAGAAATATTCTTGCTGTAGAATCTATCAGTAAAGTTTAAATTTTGTCCCATTTGCCTCCGGGAAAAATTATTTCTACTAAGAACCTTCTTAGAGATTTAGAATATCTGAAATCCTTTCTATTACGCTATAAATAGCAGTTTTGCATTATGAGTACCAGTTCTTCAGTGAGCCAAGTGGGTTCAACTGATTCAACTTTTCTTTGGGTAGCTCAAAGCCAACCGCTGGATGGCTGGACAATTCTGAAAGTTCCTTCATATTAATAGTTTGTGGTCAATGATCATATTGCTGTCAACATCTCAAACCAACCCTTGGCTACTATCCCTCTGTTTTGATTTATAAAATCACAGTATCAAATACATGCGTTTTTAAAAACTACGTTCCTAGCTGTGCCAGACTAAGAATCTTTTCACTTGAGCTGCTGGGGTGTGATCTACCTGAAAAATCCTTGCTGGAAGACAGAAAGTCGTCGTGTCTTGCGGATAAGCACATCTGCAATCTGGCACATCTCAATGCTGATGAAGAAGACGGTATAGCAGGTGTACTGTTGGTAAAGACGCTGTCCAAATGTCTGGGAGGAGAAAGGAACGGTGGCGGTATGAAGGCAAAGTCAATAGATGAGCACCAGCCACCAGTTAACTCCAAGGATTGCTTAAATATTTTTGAGGTTTTAAGGCCATACAGAATATTTACTCATAGAAGAGAATATTTGCAGCTCAGGGTTGAATTGTGGGTGCTCTCTGAGCTTGATTGTTTTCTTGCATACATTTCATTACCTAACTAGGTAACATCAGTGTTAGAAGGGAGTTTGTTCTCTTTATATACTAGGCCAGTGGCTCTCAACCTTTTTAATGCCGCGACCCCCAACCGGTCGTAAGTCGAAGACTAAACCGGTTGTAAGTCAAGGACTAAGCCGGTCGTAAGTCAAGGACTAAACCGGTCGTAAGTCAAGGACTACCCAACCGGTCGTAAGTCAAGGACTTTCCCTGCCCGGGAGCACCGCGCATGCGTGGTTCCGCCCCCTGCGCCGGCCAAGGCGTAGCTGGCAAGCGGCAGAGACGGAGCAGGCCGACCATCAGCTGGCCCAGCTCAAGGGAGGTAAGGCACCCGCCGGAAAAGGAAAAAAATGGCGGACAGCCTTGCTTGGCGACCCCCATGAAATGTTCGATCTACCCCAAATGGGGTCACGACCCATAGGTTGAGAACCGCTGTACTAGGCGCCCTGGTGGCGCAGTGGTTAGAATGCAGTATTGCAGGCTAATTCTGCTGACTGCTGGGGGTTCGATCCTCACCGGCTCAAGGCTGACTGAGCCTTCCATCCTTCTGAGGTCGGTAAAATGACCCAGATTGTTTGGGGCAATGTGCTGACTCTGTAAACCACTTAGAAGGAGCTGTAAAGCATTGTGAAGCGGTATATAAATCTAATTGCTATTGCAGAGGTCCCCAACCTTTTGGGCACCAGGGACCGGTTCCGTGGAGAAAGGTTTTTCCACAGATCGGAGGGTGCGTGGTTTTGTGTGTTGCCTGCATCCCAGAGATGGGACTTTGCTTGTTTGTGCAGACTGGTTGCAGGCATGCCACGCCCCAGTACCGGTCCATGATCTGGGGGTTGGGGACCCCTGTGCTATTGCTATTGCTAGTGGCTTTCCTGTCAGTCAGTGATAGAGGGAGTGTTCTACCACTTCAGAAAAGCACGCTAAAAACAAGTAAACAATAGCCTAATCGAGGAATCATCAAGAACACTCTTTGTTACCAGATAGGGTAAACGTGGCCTGTGATTAATAGTCTTGAGTTGCAACAGTTGGAACCTCAAGCTGGGAGTCCGATTGGTCTTTCTCTTCCCTACTCACCCACTCTTGGCCATAGCTGTCTTGAAGATCCTGGAGGTGAACATTCTCCCAGTGAGCCCGAAGCCCTAAGCACTTGAGTGGGAACCAGCCTTCTTGTGCCATAACGGTAAAGTAATCAGTAAAGCCTGCAAATGACTGGATGACTCCTGCAAGGCAAAACACCACAGGTTGTAATAATAATAATAATAATAATAATAATAATAATAATAATAATAATAATAATAATAATAATAATAATAATAATAGTAATAGTAAAGTTGGAAGGGACCTTGGAGGTCATCTAGTTCAACCCGTTGCTCAGGCAGGAAACCCTATATCATTTCGGACAAATGGCTGTCCAGTCTCTTCTTAAAAACCTCCAGTGTTGGAGCATTCACAGCTTCTGGAGGCAGGTTGTTCCACTGGTTAATTGTTCTGACTGTCAGGAAGTTTCTCCTTAGTTCTAGGTTGCTTCTCTCTTTGGTCAGTTTCCACCCGTTGCTTCGTGTCCTGCCTTCTGGTGCTTTGGAGAATAGCTTGACTCCCTCTTCTTTGGGGCAGCCCCTGAGATATTGGAACCCTGCTATCATGTCCTCCCTCGTCCTTCTCTTCATTAAACTAGACATACCCAATTCCAGCAACCGTTCCTTAAATGTTTTACCCTCCAGTCCCCTAATCAGGTTGTGTTGGATGTTTGGTCCAGCTGAACCTTGACCTTGGGGGTTTCAATGTCTGGGTGGGCACATTGTAACAGTATATTGCAGGCGCTTTCACCAAATGAGGGTAATGTAAGGAGGTTGTGACTTGCTATCTCTTCCAGCTCACAAGGACGCTCCTTATCACCATCTTGCCTTCTGGCTTCTAGGCAGGATGGAATATTTATAATAACAATTTCCTGGCTTGTCTGTTTTCCGTCTATTTTTATTTTGTAATAACGTCCATTGAAACGATCTTACAAATGGCACTTTGCAGCATTTTAAAAGATTCTTTTTTAAAAAGGGCAGAAATTTGGTTCTCCTCAAAGATGCTATAATATTGAAATTTCTAGATCTAAGCCTAACCTTAATGTCCTTTATGGTTAGGTCAGCCTTTCCTAACCAAGCATTCTCCAGCAATTTTGGCACTCCAGTACCTAGAATTCCCTACTGGTGTAGGAGATGCAGTCCCCCCTGGTACATCTGGAGAGGCCTCAGTTGGATAAGGCTAATCAAAAGCTATTCTAGTGAGCTATCTAAAAAAAAAAAAATCATCTTTGGATGGTTATTTTAAAGCTGAATTAAAAGCACATTGCTCTCTAGTACAGGGCTTTTCAACCTTTTCACCCATTGTACCACTTTTAGGATATGGCAATATCTGAGTACCACCAGTTGCCTAGCAAGGTGTCAAAAACTTGATGACCCAAAAAAAGAAAAAAGTGATAAAGTACAGGTAGTCCTCGACTTACAACAGTTTGCTTAGTGACTGTTCGAACTTACAATGGCACTGAAAAAAGTGCCCCCCAAGCCACAGCCGAGCAAGGCACCTGCCTGCCCACCCGGCGGTGCTCTTCCTCCTGTCCGAGGTTTCCATTGTTGTGAGCATTTCTGTTGAGGATTGGCAGCGGAGGTGGGGTGGGGGGTGCTTGGTTTTTATTCCCCCCCGTCTGCTGGGTGGTTGCAGCAGGTTTTGGTCACTTCACATGTCCCTGGGACACTGTGCCCGTCATAAATATGAATCAGTTGCCAAGCATCTGAATGTAAATCACCAGAACCTGGAGAGGCTGCAACATTCCAGCTGATCGGCGCTTCTTCTGGGCTCAGCAGAAGCACCAGGATCAGCGCCGAGCTCCAGCTGGGGCCTGGCGCTGATCCTGGCGCTTCCGCTGAGCCCTGACAGCCCTGCAGCTCCAGCCATCTCTCGCTCAGGCTTTGTGCGGTTCTGCCACCGGTTCAGCTCATTCCCCTCCCCTGCTACCAGTTTTCTAGGATGCTCACGTACCACCTGCCAGGTGCCAATGTACCACAGGTGGTACCCGTACCACTGGTTGAAAAGCCCTGCTCTAGTAAATGTATTTTCTTTCTTTTGCTAGCTCTAACTAGTAGACACCACTTTCTTGCATGCATACGAACCAATCTGGAAATATGAGTAGACAGCTAGTGCTTCATTGACCAAGCGGTCNTCGGATCCAGCAATGCCCATCGCGACTCCGATATCGGCTTTCTTCAGTGCCGGAGAGTCATTCACCCCATCTCCTGTAACAGCCACAATTGCACCCTGTGGACGAGAGTGAGAAATGTGAGACTTAGGATTTACAACTGGGATTCAGGACAAAGATTTGTAATGGGCAACACTTCTCGTTAGTATTCCATCTGCTCAGAGGGTTTGCCACGCCATGTCTGTCTTCTTGCTTTTCATTTTCTAAAAAACAGTTTCTGATTTTTCTGATTTTTAGCTCTACCTTCTGGAAAGGTATAGCTAATTAGAAGCTTCCTAATGTCAAAATTAGTCCAGAGATCCTCAACCTTTTGAGCACCAGGGACCGGCTCCGTGGAGAGAGTTTTTTCTGCAGACTGGAAGGAGCATGGTTTCATGTACTGCCTGCATCCCGCCGATGGGGCTTTGCTTGTTTGTGCGGATCAGTTTCTGGCATGCCGCGGCCCGGTGCCAGTCTATGGACTGGGGGTTGGGGACCCCTGAATTAGTCCACCCAAAAGGAGCAGAGGCTGAGTGCTTCAGGTAGTTCCATAAATCCCAGAGTAATGTAATTAAGAATGCTTGTCCGTTCAGCCTAATGTATTTCACAAAGCAATTATTTGGATAAAAAAAAATGGCAACCCTGTATTGTATTATATTTAGAGGAAGGGAAGGATGCAGACAATTACTTAATTATGGACTGTGTCCACATAACATGCTTAACCTGTTTATTGAATTCATCAAAATCCATCTGGGAAGTTCATATCAAGTTACAAATCAGTCGTGATTTATGAGATTACACAATCAATTATCTTTATTATGGTCTTTGACCAGCCTTTATACATATTAAAACCATAAGGAAAAAAAAAATCTAAGGGGAGAATTACCAACACTTGGTGTTTTATGTAAACGCTATCCCTGATTCTGTAAAGGTTCTGGTTTCAGTGGCTGGGAAAGTACAAAGTAGGTATTGAATATATCCCCTTTCCATAAGAAGTAGTGGATCTTACCAGTTTCTGACAGCTTTCTACAATGATGAGCTTCTGTTGTGGAGAAGTACGAGCAAAGACCATCTCCGGATGCATCTTTAGGATCTCAACCAACTCTTCACTTTCCATATCTTTCAACTGGCCTCCATTGACCACACATGCCCGGGCATCCCTAGAAATAAGAGAAAAACCTTTCAAGATTAGGAAACCTCCCAACAGCACCTCAGCAATGCCACATCACTTCTTCCCTTGCACAGAGTATCTTCCTTGTCTGGTGCCACTGTCACTCAAAGTAGTTCTTTAACATATCTGGGTATTAAGGTGCTCACCGCTTGTTGACCTGCTCCACGGGGATGCGGAGGCGCGTGGCGATATCTTCAACAGTTTCGCTGCCCTCCGAGATGATGCCAACACTGGCAGCAATGGCTTTGGCGGTGATTGGATGGTCTCCTGTTACCATGATCACCTGGGGGAAAAAATGGAAGGGAGGGGGATTGCAGCAGTTGTTTCTAAATTTATTTGTCACAGTAAAGTCCAGCATACCTAGAAGCCTCAGATTAGGAAAGAACCGTCTTAGGATCTTGTAAGATTTCAATGTGTCCATGTCTGGCTTTCATAGCGTTATCATGAATACTTTCCCAGTCATTGAAATCATCAGAACATCTGATGAACTTACCCGGATACCTGCAGTGCGACATTTCATGACGGCGTCGGGCACAGTGGCTCTGGGTGGGTCAATCATAGAGATAAGGCCTGCAAAGCATAGCCCGCTGGTGGGGAAGTTCATTTCATCACTGTCAAAGTGGTAGCCACGGGGGAACTCATTCTGAGGAAGGTAGAGGTGGCAGAAACCTGTGGACGAGAGATAAGCATTGTGAGACCTCTATCATAGCCCATAAATCAAACTACTTATTCAGATTCAATACAGTTCCAGGTTCGCTTAGTCCACAATACTCAAACTAGGCTACGGCGCTTCCCTTGATATTTCAGCTTTCTCATAATCCAAGTAGTTGACACTCTTGAGGGTGATGGTTGATACCTTGGTAGTTGCCATACACAGAATGAATGAAGCTCAAGAAGCTTGGAGACATTATTTGAACTTCCTGAACATTGCTCATGTAAAATACCTCTGAGAAATTGTAGTAGAGTTCAGGAGTGGCTCCACGCTGCTCATGAGAGCATAATTGCCACCTGGAAGGGCTCAACAGGACAGTGAAGGAGAAGAGCCAGAAAAAGGGCATTTTGATGAGATTCTTAAAGACAGAGCTGGACTACCAGTAGATTTTTAAAAAAATTATTTAATGAAAACTTCAGTCATCGAATCATTCTTTCTTACCCAGCACACGCTCGCCCAGCCCACCGAGGTCCATATAAGCTGTTTGGAAAGCTTCCCTCCATTGCTCGTCAAGGGCCAACTCCTGGCCTTTAATCATGATGGTGGAGCAGCGTTCCAGGATCCTCTCAGGAGCCCCTTTCATCACCAGCAGGTGGCGCTGGTCTCTGGGATCGTCAAGCTCATGGACAGACAGCTAATTGTAGGGGAGATCATAGAATTCATGAGATTTGTCCATACCCAATGGGCAGCTTTCTAGCTTCTTGGCTTTGGGCAATGAACTAAGACTTAAATGCCAGGTTAATTCAGTACTTTCTGAATCAGAGTTCCTTTTGTTGGCCCTTGCTGAACTTCTTGGAACCAAAGGACAGAAAATCAGCGGCTAACCTGGAATTTGTTGGTGGAGTTGAAGGGAATCTCACAGACTTTGTTGTAGCGCTCCCGGTACTCCATGACGTTGCCGAGGGTGATTTCAGAGAATTTCAGTAGGGCCGTCTCCGAGGCATCTCCGATCACAATGCGCTGGGATTGAAAAGGGAAAGAAACACAGAAAGAGGATCAGCACTGGTTGAACTGCTGGCTGAATTTGCATTTATACTAGATCAGTGTTTCTCAACTTCGGCAGCTTTAAAATGAGTGGACTCCCGCTCCCAAAATTCCCCAGAAGACAAGATAGTGAAAATGAGATTGGATAGTTCGTGCTGAAATAAAATTTATTTATTTATTTATTTATTTATTAATTGCATTTATATCCTGCCCTTCTCCTTACGGACTCAGGGCGGCTGACAATTGAATAAAATACTAACATATATACATATACTTAATTAAAATTTGATTAAAACGAAATATTTAAATATGTCCAATTTAAAAGTAATTAAAACCCCCTTTAAAATCCCTCAGGCCAGTCCCG